TATAGCCTGCGCCGGGGGATCGAGGGCTGTCCTGGGTATGTGTGCCCAGTGCTTGGTGCTCCCTCTCCCCGTCGTCATTCCTGGGTACGGGAGCGATTTGGCTGAAGATCAGTGGGGGTGCAGCCGGGCATGGGGAGGGCTGGAGGCAGCCGAGATGGGGCACCAAAGCCCTGGCTTGTGTTTTGGGTGCCCAAGGTTGGAAGCCTGCCCGTGGCGAGGAGCAGGAGGTGTGTTTGCTGATGGGATGGGAAGCGCCAGGCCTGATCCTGCTGCCTGCGCAACGGCTGGCAGCGGTGCTGCGAGATGGGGATTGGGTTTTTTTTTCATCCCTTCCATCTGCCCCCCTCAACTGTCTTCCATCCTAGCCCAGAGAAACGCTTCTCTCCGGGTCGGAGCGGCCAGGAAAAGTCCTGCCCTGCCCCAGGGCTGCTCCTGCCAGGCTGGATGATGCCCCGTGGGGTGCTGGTGTGGGGTTTTCCCCCCCCCCAGGCCGCCCTGTGCAGGTGTTTCCCCGGGGGAAAGGAGGCTGAGCTGACAAACAGCTTTGACTCAAGGCCATGTGAGCTCTGCCAGGGGTGACTGTCACCCGCTCAGGCTGCCAGCTCACCGCCTGTCTCACGCAGGCGTGCGTGGCTCCGTCCCTGTGTCACCGTCCTCTCTCTCCCCAGGTATGCTGGAGGATGGGAAGAAGTTTGATTCCTCTCGCGACAGGAACAAGCCGTTTAAGTTTGTGATGGGCAAGCAGGAGGTGATCCGCGGCTGGGAGGAAGGAGTCGCTCAGGTGCCCGGTGCTTCTCCACCTCTCGGTCTCCCTTGCAGGGCTGCGCAGAGCCGTGTGCCTGGGGAGCTGCAGCGTGGGCAGAAATCACTGTGTGCAGCTCGTTCTCTCTCTCTTTTTTTTTTTTTTTTTTTTTTAAATTTTTTTTTTTTTTTATTTTATTCCCCTGTGTTTTCCACCCCTCCGCCCCCTCGGCGCTGGGAGACGTGGGTGTGAATATCACCTTCTGCATTCGCCACCTGCCAGATGGCAGGAACGGAGCAGGGCCGGGCCCCAGGAACACCTACGGCACGTCGGTGACTCAGCGGTGACATTTCTCCACTGAGTCAGCTCCGAACGAACGCGGCGGGGAGGGCGCTCGGGGCCGCCCGCTCCGAACGGAGACGGCTCCCGGGCTGCGAAGCCCGCGGGGAGGGAGGGCTGGGGGGCACGGCGCGGTCTGAGCCGGCCTCGCAGCGTAGGGGCAGGAGTGGGGACAGGTCCGTGCTCCTCTCGCTGTCGCTCACCCGGCGGTTGTCCCCATCTCCTGACCTCCCCGTGTTTCTTTCCCTGCCCTCAGATGAGCGTTGGTCAACGGGCAAAGATGACCATCTCCCCAGATTACGCCTACGGCTCTACTGGCCACCCAGGGATCATCCCACCAAACGCCACTCTAATTTTTGACGTGGAGCTCATGAAATTGGAATGACCTACCCCAGCACCCCGTCCTCGGGTAAGGAGGGGCAGCCGCTGGCAGGGAGTGTTGTGGTTTGGGGGCGACTCCAGGCCCCCATCTTTTGTCTCAGGCTAGTGTGGGGAGGTGATGGCAGCGCGGGGGGCATGAGAAGGAGGGGGCAAGGTAGCAGTTGCTCCCAGGAGGCTGCCGAGCTGGGGGTCGCTACGGTGGTACGAGCAGAGCAGCCTGGCAGAGGGGGGGGGGCTCGTGCCGTGGAGGCTTTGGGGTGCTCCCGGACCAAGCCTGGGGTTCCTTGCTGCGGGGCTCAGCTGCCCCTCGTGCCTCTCTGGCTGCTGGCGCGTGGGTCCGGCGGTGCGGGCGGGATGGGGCTGTGCTTCCCCCCTGCTTCCCCCCTGCTTCTCCCCCCCCCTCCCCGTATTTGGGGCTGGATTTGGGTTTACGGTGAGAGCGCCGTTTGGCGAGCGGGTTCCCTCCGCAGGCCGCGGGCGGGCGGTTTGTCACGCTGCCTCTGCTCTCTCCCGGCAGGTTTGGCACATGGAGGAATCCAGAATCTCAGCTTCAAGAAGAGTGCACATGACTTTGTACGGAGCTTTTCCTGATAGTCCACTACACTCATTGTATAACCTTACACCTTGATTGAATGCCTTTGGTCACTAAGCTTTGCGTCTGACTCTTCCTCCTTGTATCGTGTTTTTATGTCTTTTTAAACTATACGCCGTAAACCTCAACTCTTTTTGGGTCAAGTTCTTAATCTTATTTTTGTTCCAGGTGTAGACTACGTTTTACCAGTAGCACGCAGATGGGCTGACCTTAGATAGGAGTCATTTGAACAAAAGGAAACCTGTTAGTTACTCGTTTTGGTGCAGATCCCTCTGGTGTTTTCAAACCAGAAATTGCTGCTGCTGCTGCAAAAGCCATAGCAGAGTGAGGCTGTCGAGGCTGAATGGATGCGGAGAGCAAAGTAGCGCTAGGATTGTGTGTAGGTACCCTGCCTGGAACCGGGGCGGCCAGGGAGCAGCGTGTCCTTGCCCTGCTCCCCGGGGAGGGCACAGCATCGCTGCGGGCACCGTGGTTTTGCTCCCGGGAAGGGGGGGCTGCTCTGCCCCTGCTTCACTCTGCCATCGCACGGTGGAACCTGCCTTTCCCCCCAGCCCGCTTTCAGATTTATGGGGACGGGTTTCCGTCAGAGCTCCACCGCACCCCCAAAAATTCAAGAGCTTACATCGAGCTTTCTTTAAAGAAAAAAGGAAAACAGCAGGCAAACGGAAGGTGCTGTTAGAGGGGAGGTGGCGGGGCTGGTGGGGAGTCAGCTCCAAGAAAACGCCCTTGTCCCCTCTCTCCCCCCTGGAAAGGAAACATCAGACCCAGTTGTCCCCGGTCTGAGCACATCTGACCGTTCTCTCCTGACACCTGATGCTGGTCATCGCCGCTTGTCTGGTCTCATACGATGCGTAGCTTCCCCCGCTGCTGCCCCATCTGCCCCCCCCTCCCTCCGCCCTGCCTAGTGATTTGGTAAAGAGAAATTGCTGCCGTTCACTTCCTTCTCCACCGCATAAAGGTATCAAGTTTTATTATTGCAATAAAAACGCTTTATGCTGGCTTTTCTCAACTTGGTGTCTTGGAGGTTTTTCCCTCGCCTGTCTGTTGCTCAGCACAGTGGGGGCTGGGCCGGGCTCCCAGGGTGCTGTGGGTGCTGTGCTGGGCTCCTGGGGTGCCATTCTGGGCTCCCGGGGTGCTGTGGGTGCTGTGCTGGGCTCTCGGGGTGCCATTCTGGGCTCCCGGGGTGCTGTGGGTGCTGTGCTGGGCTCCTGGGGTGCTGTGGGTGCTGTGCCGGGCTCCTGGGGTGCTGTGCTGGGGTGCTGTGGGTGCTGTGCTGGGCTCCCGGGGTGCCGTGGGTGCTGTGCTGGGCTCCCAGGGTGCTGTGGGTGCTGTGCTGGGCTCCCGGGGTGCTGAGGCAGCAGGAAGGGCCAGCCTCTGGCTTGCTTTGGGCTGAGGCTCGGGTGTCTGGGCTCCGGGCACACAGCGGGGTGCCTGGGGCTCACCGGGCTCTGGCAGCCTGCTGGGATTTGCACAATGAATTACCATAACCCACTAAGTGTTGCCCATAACCCACTAAGTGTTGCCCTCGCAGCCTCTCGCCGTGGGACTGGGAGAGCGAAGGGCAGACGGACGGGTGCCCCCAGGGTCCCCCCTGCTCCGGAGGAGCCTCTCGATACGTCTCTGCGTTTATTTCCATCCTTTTTGGAGCCTGGGCATTGCAAGGTGGGCCACGGCACAACCAGCGGGCCCCTATTTGCAGGCCAGATCACCACGGATCTGAAAAGCCTCTGGGTTTTTTTGGTTTTTTTTTTTTTTTTTTTTGGTGCCTTTCTTAGTGATCCCCGCTTGTTGTGTGGGTGCTGCTCGGGCACCGCTGCGTGCCAGTGCCCCGCTCCTCCACCAAATGGCCTTTGCTCCGTTCGCCGCGGCCGATAACGCGGCCGCGATCGATAACGTAGCGAGTCCCAGTCCCCGAGAGGCTTTTTTTGGGGGCAAAGTTTGTGTTTTAAGGGGGGGGGGGGGGGGGGGGGCTGGGGAAGGCACTTCAGGGAACAGCGGCCGCGGGGCAGGAGCAGCAGCTCTGCCGCCTGGGCTGCATTTGGCAGCGCCAACTCTTGCCTCGAATGGGATATTAGCACTACCCTTAATTGCAACTCAATTAAGCAGAACGGGGAGCTGCTGGGGCGCCGGCACCCCACTCTGCCTTTCGCTGCGGCCGCTTCTAGGTGGAAACTTAAGGCGAGCTCGGGTTTCTCTTCCTCCCAAGGCTTTTTGCTTTTAATTATTAACCGGTGCCAGGCGGTGGTGCCACGGCTTCTGGCTGGAGACGAGCCAGGGCTGGGGGGGGAGCCCGGTGCCCTGGGGGCCAGCGGCTGCGTGTCCCCCGCCACCCTCAGCACGCAGCCCCCCCCCCACGGCAGCTCCCACAGCACCCACAAGCGCGGGTGGGGTGTGGGTCCTTCCCTCTCCGGTTTGGCAGGGATGAGGGTTTTGGGGCAGGCACAGACCCCCCCCCCTCCACCCCGGGAACCATCCTTCTCTGGAGGATGTCTCCCTGCCCCCTGGTTGTGTTTATCAGCGGTTGAGCTGCTCTCGGCCTGAGAGGCAGCCGGGCACCGTCGGGCTAAAAATAACACCAGTAAATAAAATGCTTCCTCCCAGCCTGGCACGCAGGAGCGGAGGCGCGGGGAGCTGGGACGTGCCCGGCTGCTGCTCCGTGGTGGGGCTGGCCCCGTGCCGGCGCAGTCCTGGGATGGTGCCACCGGCTCCAGGCTCGGCTGGGTGCCCGCCGCTGCCCAGTCCTTGGGGACACGGGTGGCATCCCCGGCGCTGGGAGGCTGGATCCCGCGGGATGCCCGTGTCGGCCCCGCGCCCTGACTCAGGCGAGCTCCGCGTTCGCTCGGTTTTGCCGCCCCACGGGGCCGTCAACGCCTGACGTGCGCCCCGGGGCCACCCGTGACGGGGGCCGGGTGGGTGCGGGACACGGCATCCCGCTCACGGCCGCGTCAGCCCCACGTGCCCGGGCGGCGGGGTGTCGGCGGGAGCCAGCCCACCCACGCAGGGCTGCTCACAGTGGGGCACCCCATTTCACCCCCCCCCCCCCACCGGCAGCACCTTCCATCCCCGGGCTGGGACATAAGGGCTGCGGTGGGGCCAAGCCGTGTGCGGGTGCCAGCCAGAGTGGTGATGGAGTGGGACAAGGGGGCCACCACCACCATGGTGGCTGGTGGTGGTGGTGGGGGGGGCACAGCCCCATCCCTGCTCCCCCAGGATGCCAGAACCCACCAAAAAGCCATCCCAATCCCTGTCCCCATCCCTGCGGTGCCAGAGCCCTGTGTGGCTTTGGCTTCATCTTCCTCTTCCTCACCTGTGCCCTACCTGGCAGGGGTGATGGTCAGCTGAGGCTGCTGGCCCCTCCCTGGGCTGGGCACGGATATATAAGCCCGGGGCAGGGCAGAGGGTGTCAAAGGGAGCCGGGAGCTGTTGGCAGGTGAGTCCAAGGGTGCTGGGGTCGGGCTTTGGGGGTTTCACCCGTCCGGGGATGGGCTACGTGTGGGATCCTGCCTGGTTCTCGTGGAGCTCGGAGCTGGGTCTGGATTTGACCCCTACGCTCCGAGTTTTGGACGATGCGTTTTGGGGCACACGATGCCGTGGGGCAGGGCTGGGTGGCACAGCCTTGCCGTGGGCACAGCGTGAGGCGCTTTGGGGGGGGCAGAGAGGACTGGTGGGGGGGTGCGCGGGGGGGGGTTATAAGGGGCAGTCGGAGGGGCTGCTCCCATGGGACATCCAGCTCCTGTGTCTGGGTGATGCTGGAATGGCCCCACGGGGCAGGAGGACATGGGGAGCGGGACCCCCCCGAGCCGAGCGATGCCCCGGGGTGCCCGTGTCCCAGCTGCCGGGAAGTGGCGGAGGCGGTGGCCCCGGTGACACTGGGTGACACCGTGTGAGTCACACCGGAGGCCCTGGGGTGACAGCCCAGCACACGGGCTGGGAGGGATGCTGGGGGAGAGGCACCCCACCCCTGGACCGCCCCGTCCCCAGGCACGGCAGCGACAGCAGCAGCGATGGCAACGCTCTACCCCTCCTTGGAGGACATGAAGGGCCACCAGATCTTGCAGGTCAGTGTCAGCGCAGCAGTGTTATGGGGGGGGGTTTCCTGCCTTTGGAGGGTCCCCAGGGGCTGGGGGGGGCACAGCCTCGAGTGAACCCCATCTCTTGGCAGGCGCAGGCAGCCGCTGGGGTGAGGACCCCCCCCACGACGGTGGTCACGGAGAAGCCAAAGCTCGTCTCGGGCACCAGTGGCGCAGGTTGCGATGGGCTCCCCCTGTGCAGGGGCTGCTGGGGAGGGCTGGGGGGGGGCCGGGGTGGGGGGGGGACAGCGATGCTCACCATGCAGGGAGGGGGGTTCAGCTGAGAACCCCCACAGCTTGGCGCGTGGGTAGGGGACAGGATTTGGGGGTTTCTTTCCGCTGGCCTGTTGTCCTGGCGGGGGGGAGGCAAAGGCCGTGGGTTGGGGACCCCCAGGAGCTGAGGCCGCCCTCGGTGTGTCCCCCAGCGCCGCCCGTGCTGTACCCCAACCTGGCCGAGCTGGAGAACTACATGGGGCTTGCTCTCTCCAGCGCAGAGATCCAGAAGAACCTGCTCCCCGAAAGCAGCACCGTAGGTGTCCGGGCTGGCGGCTCCCGCCTGCCCAGCGCGGGGTCCCCCCGGGGCCGCATCCTGCCCGGGGAAGGGATACAGCATCCCCCCCCTTCCCCAAGGGCTGATGTGTGCAGGGCCCCGCGGCCCGAGCAGTCCCACTGATCCCCGGCTCCATCACAGGCACTGACCCCCAGCGGGCCCCCCCCGGTTGCCCCCTTGAGTGGGAACAACGCGGGGCTGCGCCGGGCAGAGATCAAGCCGGGGGTGCGGGAGATTCACCTCTGCAAGGACGAGAGGGGCAAGACGGGGCTGCAGCTGAAAAACGTCGACCAGGTGAGGGGGGTGGGCTGGCGCGGGGCTGTACGCGGCGGGGCACAGTGTGGCACGGCACAGTGTGGTGCACTAAGGCACGGCACAGCACGGCGCGCCACGGCACGGCACGGTGTAGTATGGCACAGCGTGGTGCACCACGGTGTGGCATGGCATGGCATGGTGCACCATGGCATGGCACAGTGTGGCATGGCACAGGCACAGGCACAGCGTGGTGCACCACAGCATGGTGTGGCATGGCATGGCACAGGCACAGCGTGGTGCACTATGGCATGGCACAGTGTGGCATGGCATGGCACGGCACAGGCACAGCGTGGTGCACCACAGCATGGTGTGGCATGGCACAGCACAGGCACAGCGTGGTGCACTATGGCATGGCACAGTGTGGCATGGCATGGCACGGCACAGGCACAGCGTGGTGCACCACAGCATGGTGTGGCATGGCACAGCACAGGCACAGCGTGGTGCACTATGGCATGGCACAGTGTGGCATGGCATGGCACGGCACAGGCACAGCGTGGTGCACCACAGCATGGTGTGGCATGGCATGGCATGGCATGGCATGGCACGGTGTGGTGCACCACGGCATGGTGTGGTATGGCACGGCACAGGCATGGCGTGGTGCACCACGGCACAGCACGGTGTGGCATGGCACGGCACGGTGTGGTGCACTATGGCACAGCATGGTGTGGCACGGCTCGGCATGGTGCACCACAGCATGGCACGGTGTGGCATGGCATGGCACAGGCACGGCGTGCTGCACCATGGCACAGCATGGTGTGGTATGGCACGGCACAGGCATGGCGTGGTGCGGCATGGCACGGCATGGTGTGGCACGGCACGGCATGCTGCACCATGGCACGGCACGGTGTGGCACGGCACGGCGTAGTGCACTGTGGCAGGGCACGGCGCAGCATGGTATGACATAGCAGGGCGCAGCGTGACGTGGCACGGTGCCTCATGGCGTGGCAGCGCGTGGCATTAAACGGCACAGCACGCCAGGGAGCGGCACGGCGCGGCGTGGCCACCGAGCCCCCTCGCCGGCCCCGTGCCATCGCTCCCCGCCGTCTCCCCAGGGCATCTTCGTGCAGCTGGTGAAGGCCAACTCACCGGCGGCGCTGGTGGGGCTGCGCTTCGGTGACCAGATCCTGCAGATCGACGGCAAGAACTGCGCGGGCTGGAGCAGCGACAAGGCGCAGCGGGCGCTGAAGAAGGCGTCCCCGGAGAAAATCGTCATGGTGGTGCGGGACAGGTGAGCGGGCGGGCGGGAGACGCCGGCGGCGGGGCCGGCGCCGGCGCTGACCCCGCTCTCCCCGCAGACCTTTCCAGCGCACCGTCACCCTGCACAAGGACAGCACCGGCCACATCGGCGTCGTGGTCAAGAAGGGGAAAATCGTGTCGCTGGCCAAGGACGGCTCTGCCGCCCGCAACGGCCTCCTCACCCACCACTGCATCTGCGAGGTGAACGGCCAGAACGTCATCGGCATGAAGGTGGGGGCTCTGCGCGACCCGCGGTGCGAATCGCAACCCCCCCGGGGGGGTGCCCAGGATCCGACCCCGGGGAGCCGGGAGGAAACACTGGGCACCCCCCGGGACCCAGCCGCTCTCTCCCGCAGGATAAGCAGCTCACGGAGGTGCTGGCGGGGGCCGGGAACGTGGTCACGCTGACCATCATCCCCACCGTGATCTACGAGCACATGGTCAAACGGTGAGACGGCCGCAGGGCCCACCCCACACCCCCCACACACCCCTGCTGGGGACCCCACGGGACCCCCTGAGGGGCCCCGTGGGCTCCCCCCACTGAGCACCCATCCCCGTGCCCAGGCTCTCGGCAGGGCTGGTGAAATCGGCCATGGACCACTCCATCCCCGACCTCTGACGCGGCCGCTGCCGTCCCGAGGCGGGGGGCTGGCACTGGAAACTCGGAGGGGCATCCCCAAAAGAAGCTTTTTCAGCACCAAAACTCCCTCCTCCCCGCAGAGGCCGGGGGCTGCTGAAGGTACCCCTGCAGCATCCCCAAAAGAAGCTTTTTTTTGCACCAAAACTCCCTCCTCCCCGCAGAGGCCGGGGGCTGCTGGGCGGCGCGGGGGAACCGCTGCCCTTGGGGTGTCCTCTCCCCCTCATCAGCAGGGACGGGGCACATGCCTCCCCCTGTCCTGGGGTCCCCGTGTCCCCCCCCTCGGGGCAGACGCCAAAGGCTGGCTCCAGCCAAAGCAGACACGGACCCAGCGACGTTTATTACATCCACCACAGACAGCGAGTACAGGACAGGGGAAACAAGAAAAAGGGGGGGGGGGGGGGGGGGGGAAGGTGTTGTTACAGCTTTTTCAGTTCTGTATTTTAAAAAATATATTATATAGATTTGTCTTTCAAATATAATCGTTACATTTATTTCTTGGCAAAGCTTTGGATAGTCTAACAGACGTGTACACAGATCCACAAATACATTGCACAAGAGGCGTATATCCTAGCTCCGCTTACATCAGCCGCCCCGGCTGCTTTGCCACCTTTTCTCCCCAAATATTTCACCAGCGGCTGCCGCTGCCCCGCGCCCCGGCCGGGGGACACGGCGTGTGCCCGCACCGGTGGATCCCGGCTCCCGGGGCACCCCACCGGCAGCACCCACGGGTGGTGGAGTGGGGTTTGGGGAGTGGGGGGGGGGAAAACACTGTTAGTTCAAGTCACGAAGAAGCCACAGACATTCATGGGGGTGGGAGCACGGCGCGCCCGGGGGAGCCCCGAGTCTCACGCCTCGCCAGCCCCCGCTGAGCAATCCTTGCTGTCTTTGCTTTTCAAATAAATAAATAAAATAAAAATTAAAAAAAAAAGGCGCTTTTTTTTTGCCTTTTTTTTTTTTGCCTTTTTTTTTTTTTTTTTTTTTCCTGGAGGCCGCTAGCAAAGAGGGGATTTGGCTGGGCTGGGGCAGGTAAAGCCCTGCCCGCACCCCCTCGCTGCCCCCCCCCCCCCGGCACCGGCAGCCCCCCAGCTCCAGCCCAGGGAAGGGGATCACCGGCACCGCCGCTGCCAAAACCCCATCCCGCTCCACTGTGGCCAGAGTCAGGGGGGGTGTGTGTGTGTGTCCCCACCGGTCACTGAGTTGCCGCCACCTCAGCACCCCCCCCGCCCCAACCAGAAGGCTACAGGCTGTACCAAAAAAAAAAAAAAAAAAAAAAAAAATTGAATATAGTGCAAAGCAAAGGGAGGGAGGGATGGAGGCTCCTCCCGGGGCTGCTCGGCCTTGCTCGGTGATACCGGAGCCCCAGCCCGGTCGGGTCCCGGTGCGGGGAGGGGGACGGACACTGAAGCGGGGCAGCACCGGGGGGGAGGTGCCCCACGGGCCCCTGCTGCCCCCCCAAACCGCTCCAGAGCTGGTCCCCGCATCCCAGGGAGAGGGGGGGGGGTGTGTCCCCATATCATTCCCCGCTGCAGCCAAACGTTGCTGCACCTGGAGCAAGAAATGCTCCTGATGGGGGGGGGGGGGGGGGGGCGTGGGGGGGGGTGTGTTCCTGCTGCGACACCCCCCCCCCCCCCCAAACCCCCAGCTCTTCCCACTGCCAGGAGGCTCCTCGCCATTGCCTGCCCGCGGCGGGGCAAAGACAACCCAAAGGAGAGCCTGCCCGGGGGGGTGCAGCCCTGTACCCCCCCACCCAGCAGCCCCAGGTGCCCATTGGGGGGGGGGGGGGGGCGGGGGTGAGTTGCAGCGTGATGCTTGGGGGCCACATCCTGCACCACCGCTTGGCCCCCTCTCTTCCAGCACCGGTCCTTTCCCTCCTCCAGGAAAAAGGAGATTTTTGGGGGGGGGGGAAGGCAACACAGCCTGATGCATCCCCGTGGCCCCTTCCCACACCCCCCCAGCCCCAGAACCGACAAAAAGACACCATCACTCCCCCCACCCCCCCCCCCTCCCAGCCCCCGTGGGAGAGCGGGGACACGCCGGGGCTTTACAATCAGGCGGTCGGGTCTGTGCGGGGGGAGCTGGTGGTACTGGGGGGGGGGCTGCTGGGGGGGCTGAGGGGGGGTGTGAGGCGGGTGTCAGGGCTGGGTGCTGCCCCCGGGGCTGGCGACGGGGCGACAGCCCATCCTGCGGATGGAATGGAGGGCCACGGTGCAGCAGCCCCGCAGCAGCGAGCTGATGTTGTAGATGGGTTGGCCTTGCCGGCGCTGCGAGCGGCACAGCCAGGCCACGGTGGGCACGGCCGGCACCACCACGGCCAGCAGATCCACGATGAAATGCCGGCTCCAGTAGCTCTTGGAAGGGGCGGCCTCGCAGCCGGTCACCTCCGCCGTCTCCTCGTCGGCCGCGCAGGCGATGGCCACGGAGGGGTTGGCGCTGGGGGGCTGCCGCACCGTCGGGTTACGGGGGGCAACCCCTTCGGCCCCGGCACCCGCCGTCAGCGCGTCGGGCTCGGCCGCCAGCAGGTCCGTGGCCCCGGCGGGGTTGGAGAACTCGGGGCCGGGCATCACGTCTTCCATTTCGGAGACCCAAGCCGAGGTGGGGCTGCCCAAGCTGCAAGCCTGGGATTTCATCACCTTCTCCAAGATGGTGTCCAGGTCGGGCTGGCAGGGCACGAAGTCCGTCTGGATGGCCCGCTCCTGCATGCAGCTGGCCTGCACCCCGGCTTCCACGCCGCCCCGCAGCCCCAGCAGCTTCTCGTAGGTGGAGCTGGGGGGCAGGCGGCCGCCGGGCTCGCCCCCCCCGTCCAGCGGGTCCGTGTGGCCGGGAGCCTCCTCCCCCCCGGCGAAGCCGCTGTCGGCCCCCTCGTCCAGCGAGATGGTCTGCGAGCCCCCCACGTTGCGGTCCCCGGCCCCTTGGTCGCTCAGCTTGGTGTAGGTGGAGCTGCGGGTGAGGGATCGGGCTGGGGACCCCCCGGCCGACTCGCCGGCCCCCTCCTCCTTCAGCGCCCCGTTCTGCGCCACCTCCATGCTGTGCAGCAGCGTCTCCAGCTTCTTGTTCTGGATGTTGATGTCCACGAAATACTTCTGGAGCCCCTTGTCCTTCTCCAGCAGGTTGTTCTTCACCGTGTCGATGACCTGCTTCAGCTGCTTGATCTCCTTGCGGGCCTCCTTCAGCGCCAGCTGGGCCTCCACGCGATGGCACTCCTCCTCGATCCAGTCCTCCTGCATCCGCGACAGCTGCGTCTTCAGGTCCTCGATCTCAGCATCCCTGCGAGAGACGGGGAGGGCACCGCCGCGGCGCTGAGGGGGCTGCGGGACCAGCCCCGGCCCCGAGTCGGAGCCAGATCCCCCCCAGTAACGCTCGCGACTGGGACCCAGGGATGGATCCAGCGGCTCGGGGACCCTGGGCAGCGATGCTCAGCCCTCTCCCGGAGGGGATGCAGACCCCAAGGTCCCCAAGGGCTGTGTGGGGACAGGCGGGTGCCCCAGGCGGGCGCGTGGCAGCTGGCACGCCGGAGAGGACGTGCCTAAGCCTGAGAGGAGCAGATGGGGATTAGCCACCCTCTGACGCTGAAATTCAGAAAAAGCGTGGCCGAGATTTAACGGGGGGTGCAGGGGAGAGCACGGCCAGGGCAGGCGGGACGTACGGGCTCTGCGGCCCCCGAATCCGCGGCTCCCTGGCTGGATGGGCGGCTCTGCCAGACGCCCACGTGCCTGCAACGGCGCTGCAAAGCCGGGAACCCGGAGCCTGGGCACAAGCCCGAGGACAAGACACAGGGCTGAGATCCGAGAGCCCCCCGAAGGACCAGTCCCCCAGAGGAGCTGCCGCTGCGGTGGCCGTGGCCGGTGCCAGGACCGTTCCCGGTGGCTCCCGTGCCAGGGAGGGGGCTGTGCCCGCTGCTCCCACCCTTACCTGTCCTGCAGCCGCTCCTGCGTGTCCTTCAGGCGAGCTTTCAGGTGCCTGATGCAAACCTCCTTCTGCTGCAGGGGGGTCAGGTACTGCTCCGGCGTCGGCGGCTTTATCCCATGGTTGTCGCTGCAGAGGTTGTACTTGGCCGAGCGCCTGCGGGGACACAGACGTCACCCACCTGCTCGGCGCAGGGGCCCCACGGGAGACGCCTGCTCTCGAGGTGCGGGGGGGTGCAGCCCCACAGGAGCCCTGTGGGCGGGAGGGGCGGGTGTCTCAGGGTGCTGTCCGCGGAACCCTCCGCAGAGCTGCCGGTTTCGCCGGGTGCACGAGCAGAGCCGGGAGCAGGCGGGCACCGAGGTCTCCGTGAGGCCAGAGCGAGCTTTTTGGGGAATGACTGACGCGGATGGAGACCCCAGGGTGGGACCAGCCCCCTCAGAGGTGGGCGTGGGATGCGTAATTGGGGGGGGCTCGGGATGGAGCAGGTGGCGGCTGTCCTGCCCGGGGAGAGGGAGCCGGGGCATCCAGCATCGCTCCAGGTTGGGCCAGCGGCACGTCTGGACCCTCCTCGTGCCGTTACTGGAGCGGATGAGGTGATGTCTCTGGCCCAAAGCCCAGGGCAACGTGGAGATCAAAGGCTGGCCAGGGCTGGGGCTGCTTGTCCGGGCTGGGACACCTAGAGAACTGCACGCAGCACGAGACACTCCAGCATCGCAGCAGGGTGGACCCAACCCCCTGAGCATCACATCAGGGTGGACCCAAACCCCTGAGCGTCACATCAGGGTGGACCCAAACCCCTGAGCGTCACATCAGGGTGGACCCAAACCCCTGAGCATCACAGCAGGGTGGACCCAAACCCCTGAGCGTCACATCAGAGTGGACCCAAACCCCTGAGAGTTGCAGCAGGGTGGACCCAACCCCCTGAGCATCACAGCAGGGTGCTGGGTGCCCCCTATTCACAGCAGCGGGGCAGCCCAAACCCCTCCCCAAGCGTGGTGGCAGCCTCAGCTGGAGACAGAAGCTTTGCCTTAGGAGCAGCCAAGCAGGACCGTGGCCTTGCAAAACCCCACGGCAACGGGACGGCCACCGCTCCCGCCTGCGGCGGGCACCGGCTCTGGTCACCACATTAACCCTCTTGTCCTCCCAGATTTGATGCCACCTCCGGGAGCTGGAAGGTGGCCGGGGACAGGCGGGAGCAGCCCAGCCTGGGGACAAGCCTTGCTCCCTGCAGCAGCAGCAGCGCACCAGCAGCCCAAACCACTGGCCCACGGGGCCGGTGCCCGTCCTGCAGCTCGGCGCCCGGCTGTTTGTGCCCCAAGCTCCCCGCTGAGAAGCCGGGCTGCTGCCAGTTCTGGCCAGCTCTCGGCCGGGCAGCGCGAGGGGTTGGAAAGGAAGGTCATCCCGTCCACTTTGCCTTTGGTCCTGAGGGACCCGGGGTGCCCCTCGGGGCGCAGGAGCGGCGGGAGGGACGCGTGCAGCGTGCAAGCCACAGCCACGGCAGGATGGAGGGGAAGGGGATGGGGCGCCCGGCTGGCAGGCGGGGCGAGGTGGGGTGGGGGTGGGGGGAGAAGACACGACAAAGGTGGCGGAGAGGTTTGGAGGAGGATGGTGGGGGTCTTTGTGAGACACACCAGCGGCTCTGCCGGCTCCCCCAAGCTCACAGCCTCGCTCCACCAGCCCCTGCGCTCCTGTCCCCGCCGGGCACCGGCACTGGCAGCACAGGTGCTGCTCTGCTCCCCCCCCCTTGCCTGGGGGCACCCAGCAGCCGCCCTGGGGCCACGGGTGGTGGGTTACCTTGGGGTGGGGCTGCTGTCGCTGCCCTTGCAGGAGCCAGAATTGCTGCTGCTGCTCAGCGAGGAGGTGCCGTAGGTGTCCCTCCCGGGGGGCGAGGGGCGCCTGGAGGCAGGGAGAAGAGGCTGTGTCTCAGGCCGAGTGGCTGAGGGCGCTGAAGACTTAAAGAAGGAGGCAAAGCCACTCCGTCCATAAACCCCGCGACTGCCAACCACCACACCGAGAACACACAAGACAAAAGGACAAAACAAACAGCAGGGATCAAAATGGCACGCACACGGCGACGGGCACAAAGGCAGGGCTGGGGCGGGGGGGGGGGGGGGCTGCCCACTCGCTCCCCCCTCAGCGTGGCATCCCCCGGATGCTGGCATGGCATCCCTGCACCCCGAGCACCGGGAGCCCCTTGGGAGCATGGCCTTGGCAGAGCTCGAGGTGCCAGGGCAGCCCCTGCGCGTGGGCAGATCTGCCTTTTCTCTCTGCCCGGGCTGCCGGTGGCAGTCAGTGCCTAAATAACCGCAGCCCAGGTCATGGAGATATTTGGAAGGGAATAAATGCTTTTTTTTTTTTTTTTTTTTTTTTTCCCTCTGGCTATTTATCACTGCAGCTCACGGAGAGGCTTTTCAAGGGCTAACACACCTCCCAGTTTCACCACCCCAAACCCGGGGCCCTCTGCCACTGCCTGCCTTTGCCCGGACAGACAGAGGGGTTGGTCCCGGCTGCAGCAGAGACGGACAGAGGGGGGGGGACGGGGGGGGTGCAGCGCTCGGGGGGCTGCATGCACGGACGGGGAAGTGCTGTGCAGTGGGCAGCAATGTGCAACATCCCCTCCTGCCCCCCCCCCCCAAAAGCCAGGCTTGGCTGGGGGGGGGGGGGGGCGCGGTTCGTGGTGTGAAGTGGCAGCTCGGGGGGGCAGGTGGGGATTGTTCCCTCCCCTGCTGCCAGCCAGGAGGAGCGCCGGGCAGGCTCCGGTGCCCGGTCCCGGGGGGGTCAAAGCATATTCACCTTCGTGATCCGGTGGACGAGCGTCTGCTCCCCGGCAGAGACATGGCCGCGGTGCCGCGGGTCCTGGGCGCGGGGGAACTGCGGGGGAAACGCAACAGAGAGGGGAGGTGAAGGCAGGGAAACGGCCCCGGCGCCGGGGTGAGCCTGGGCATCAGTTTAGACCCTGGGGCCAGCCGGACTGGGACAGATGTGCGCTGCATCCCCTGCACATCTGGGCTGGGCTCCCCGCCGGGATGCTGCGTGCCCACGGTCCTGCCCTGGCAAGGCATGCCGTCAGCACAGGGCGAGGGTTTTCTTAATGTATTAACGAAAAACAGAAGCAGAAGAGGTACCCGTCCATGGTTTAAAGCCCCTTTTCCACCGTTCTCCAGACATGGGACAAGCTTTCCCCTGGCCCCAGGTCCCCGTCCCCGCCGGGGAAGGGAGGTCTGTCACCAGGACACGGGGTGCCGGCAGTGGTGGCATTACTCAGGGCAGAGATGGGACGAGGGCTCCGACACCCAGCCCTGGACCTCACCGAATCTCCACCCGGGCAGGGGGGGTGTCCCCGCAGGAGGCTGGGTGCCTGCTCGCTCTTAATGGAGTCAGTGAAATCAGGTAAGGACGCACAAAGCCCTGCACGATGCGGCAGCAGCAGCAGCAGCTAATCCCTTGGGAAACACAGGGACCATTTTTCCTGTAAATAAATAGGCCAGATCCAGAGGCTCGCAGCAGCCGGTGGGATCTGCTGGAGGAGGAGGCAGCACCTCGGGCACGGGCAGGGATGTGACCTGCCGCAGCGGAGGGGAGCTACGGGAGGCATCTGCTCAGCACATCCATCCCGCCGAGCATCCCACGGCCCCGGCCGCGCTCACGGGCTGCCGGGGACAGCCCCACGCAGGATCCCTGCCCGTCCCCGAGCCCCTTCACGATGCCGGTATTGTCCCGGATTTCAGCAGCTCCAGCCCAGAGCGATGGGACCAGCCAGCTGGTAATTGATCGTCGATTGGAAACACTAAGTGCTGCTGCTCGGCCACGGTCCAGGGGAGCGCGAGGAGTGGGACGAGAGGGGGGAGGCAGGAGAGGAGGGGGGAGCACAGCCAGCTCACCCCGAGGCAGCCTTTCGCATCTGCCACCCCAGGGCTGTTTTTTTTCCAGGCTACCTCCTGCGTGATGCTCAAAGCCCACAGCGGCCAGCCCAGGCCTCTCCTCTGCCCAGGATTTCCTGCTCCCTGATCCCAAACCAGGACACGGAAAAGCCCAGAGAGCTGGAGCAGAGGAGCCGGAGATGCGCAGCCGCGGCGAGCCCCCCCACCCCGCAGGCACAGTGCCCCACACCGGGGAGGGGGGAGTGGGGGGTGTACCAGCATCCCCGGGACACAGCCACCAGGATCCGGGGGTCCTGCTGCTCCCCTCCTCGGGATGGATTTCCCAGGGGAGGACCTGGGAAGGGGGGAGGCAGCTCTCTGCCCTGCCAGATAACCGCTCCCGAGCCGACAGCGTGCGCGGCCGGGCGGCTGCAGGCTTTGCTAATGCAGCAGCGTGAATCAGCATCCAGAGAGCCGAGCGCGGCCCCGGCGCTGGCGGGAGCATCCTGCGGCACAGCCGGGGGCTCCGGTGGCGGCGGGGCCAGCCCTCCCTGCTCTCCAGGCAGGGCTTTCAAGAGATTTGCAGCCACGGGGGTTAATTCCTCGCCCTCTCGCAGCCCCGTGCCCTGGCCCGACGCAGCCCCGGCGGTACCCGGCCTCGCCGCTGCCTCCTGCTCTCCCCCGTTCGCAGCAGTTACCTGCGAGCACCCCATCCTGCACCCCAAGCGCCCGCCCCAGCATCCGCAGCCAGGAACGGCTCCATGGGGAAGCCTGGATTCGGCCTCGCGCCTGGCAAGCTCCGTTCCTCCTCTTCCTCCTCCTCCCGCTGCTGCAGACTCGCCTGGCGCCCACGCTGAGGCTCGATGCCTCTCGCGGTGCCGGCAGGTTTAAGGGGTGAGAAACTCGGCGCAGCCCCGTGCTGCTGCCGCGGGGAGCCTGGCCAAGGGCTGCCAGCGGGCACCGAAATCCCGAGGAGGGGGGAGCACCCTCCCGCACCCCGCTCAGGTCCCCGTCTCATGAGCACGAGGGGCTGCGCATCCCCTCGCAGCCCGGGTACCGGCTCTGCCTCGCCAGGCTGCCCCAGGGCACCTTCAATTTAATCCCTGGTAATAAATCGTCACGGCCTTGATGCCCAAAGACTCAATGGCCCATTTCGGTCTCCCCAAAAGCCTCACCGTGGCCATGGGCTGCCCAGGACAGGCAGGCCGGGCAGACTTAGCACCAAAGCTGAAAACACACCTTCCCACATGGTACGTGGCTACTTGGTGACTAAAGGCAGAGGAAATTATTTATTTGCCCTCAAAATTACTGCTATCATGGGCCAGGATGCGCAGCTATAGCGCCAAGGGAGCCTCGCCATGAAGGCAAGAGGAAACCCAAGATTATCTTATCACATTCGAAATGCCAGAAAGGGAGAAGCAAGGCAGACCTCTGCTCCTCCGGTGCTTTGGAGAGGGGGCTGCCCCTGCCCTCCCGTGGGACCCCCACCCCCCTGAAACTCCTGGCACTTGTGGTGGCTTCAGCTCGCTGCCGCGGTGGCTCATTGATTAGGCATTAGGAAAAACACACGGAGAGGAAATGAAAAGCGGTCAAAGATGAATAAACGCCTCCCCAGCAAGGAAGATAACGGCAATGGCGAGGGTCAGGAAACACAGGGGAGTAATCAAGAGCCGGTCATTAAAATCTAAAAAACTATCTGGTAGATGGGGCTTGGGGCAGGAGTCAGAGCAAAGCTGCGAGGGGAAGCAGAAAAGAAGAAATCCCATAAAAACATGGTGGGGAAAAGCAAGCCAAGCCGGGGCAGAGGCGGGCAGGCTCATTGCTCCGTGTCAGGAGCATCGGGGATGGGGCCAGCAGAGCTGCCCACAGCCGGCCCCGCGCGGGGACAAACCCCCAAAAACAAACATCAGGAGCCTCAGCAGTGGGAGAGGAAACCCGCGGGGACAGAGGACAACGCGCCACTGCCAGCAGCTCTGCTCTGCAAACCCCAAGTCACACAAAGGGTGGGTGAGATGAAGCCAGGTCTCACGAGCCAGTGTGGGGAAGGGATTTCCTCCATCTTATTTTCATCTTTGCAGAATAAGGAAGGTGGGGAAAGTCTTGAGAAACACGGAATAAACACGGTAGAATCTGTTGCTTGTGGGTTGATCCTTAGAGGGCTGACAAAAACAGCTTGTGCCCCAGAAGAGAGGATGTGTCTGCGGCACAGGAGGGACCCTGAGCAGCTCTGACCTGGCATCAGAAACCGGCGCCGAGCCCCAGCGACACAAACTGCCAGCGCTGACCCCCGCCAGCCCAAGAGTTCATCCCGCACCGTTACCGTGCTGGGACACACCGTCCCAGCTCCGTCGCGCAGCCCGGGCTTGCAATTCTACAGAGATTCTAACTGCCAGTGTGAGCGCGCAGACACGGGAGCAAGATTCGGGTGATTTGGGGAGTGCTGGCTTGTCCCCGTGCCGGGAGGGGGGGACACACCAGTGGGACCCTGCTCAGCGCAGCACCTCAGGGGTGCTGGTACGGGCCGGGGTCTGACGATCCAGAGATCGCGCTGCAAACCACCCAGATGTGTTTCAAGCACCTTGCAAACCACCCCAAAACGCAGCTCACGGGACGGGGAGGATGGACGCTGCCCGTTGCGAGGTCGAACGCTCTTTTCCTGGAGCCGCCGACAGCGAAACTCCCTGCGAACCGCCCGGCCCGCGGCGGAACAGAAAGGCAACTCTTTTCAAAACAACAGCATAAAGTCGCGCTTATCCCGTGCAACAGAATTAGAGCTGGGGATTCATGCTAAATAAAAGCAACGGTGCTTGATAAGGAAACAGCTGGAGTTCCAGCACGAAAAGCTGATACCCCACGCAGGGTGGGATGGGGTGCAGCCAGGCACAAGAGCCTGTTGCCCTGAGGAGTGGGAGACCCCCCCCACCCGCCAGCACGTTGTGCCGTAACGCACCGAGCACTTTTCTGTGTGGTCAGCAGGGCTCAGCCCCACACAGGGCTCAGCCCCACGGAGGGCTCAGCCCCACGCAGGGCTCAGCCCCACGCAGGGCTCAGCCCGCTGCCACTCCCCACACCTGCACCACTAAGAGCCTCTGGCACCAGCCCGTGCCCCATCCCCGCCAGCACAGGTTGCTCAGCCTCGACACATCCCCTGGGGCCAAGAGCCCCCCACGCTGCCACCACCCCGGGACGGGTGACACCACGAGGCTCCGGCTGCTCCCCCAGTGGGACCCGGGGCACCACTGACCCACCGACCACACCACGAGGGCGATGCAACGCGGGACGAGCGGCAGAGCACCCCGAGGCTCAGCCCCAGGGAAGGATTTCCCCAAGAAGAACGGCTCAGACATCATTTTGGGATTCCTGCCCCGCAGCGAGGCCTCTTCGGCTCAAACGCCGCTGCTTCCCCCCACCACCACACCGGATCCCCCGGCCGTGCCAGCAACGGAGAGATGGGGCTGGGCAGGTATCGCCCCTCCTAGAAGCTTCCTGCGTGGGACACGGGGCTGTGGGACCCCTGGAGAGACCCCCCCGCCAGCGGCTGGGTGAAGCCTCGGGTGCTTGTTTCCTCCGGGGGGTTTCGCTCCCGCCTTCGAGGCTTCTCTCTCTCCGCTCGACTTCTGCAGGGCTCAGAAGGAACCTGCTGCTCGTCCCGGCCCCCCAGGGAACACACCGGGAAGGTGCAAGCACAGATGGGCCCCGTTTGGCAGCCCCAGCCCCCGGCGCGCAGCCGTCCCGGGCCCAGCGGCCGTCGCATTTCCCCGGATTCCTCGCTCACTGCTTCTTTTGTCGGGGTTCCCACCACCCTGCCCGCTCGCTGCCGGATTTCCTTGTTTTCCTCGACGCATCCTGTGTTAGGAGCGTTTTGCAATGGTGGCACCAAGCCCAAGCATCTAAGAGAAGCTTCACCAATTCTGCAGAAACCTCGGGAGAACGGCACCCGGCACACGCCGGCGGGCGCCTTCCCTGCGGGTCCCTCCCTGTATTTTCAGCCTTCCAGAACTAACAAGATTAAAAGCAGAGAGCAACAGCGGGAGGGAAATCACAGCTTCGTTTTTCCGGGGAACAAAAAGGGCTCCCGAGGAGACCTCCCCGCCTTTCCGACACAGGCTCTGCTTTTCCCTCACACTAAAAATAAGCAAAGCGCTGAACGTGGCAAACAACCAGCAACCTGATTTGGGACAGAGCGCTGCGTCCCCGGAACAGTGGTGATGCCAGGCTGAGTTTGTGTTTGAAAAGGGACTGGGAGGCAGATGGGGGGTGGTGGGAAGGAGCAGGATCTGGGGGGTCAGCGCCGTGGGAACCGTCCAAGCTGCCGGAGGCAAACACCAGCTCCCTGGCACACAGCAGTGACCGTGTCTGCGCTCCTCCTTCCACCACGGGGGATTTTTGGGGGAGACAGGAGCTGCTCTGCTCCTGCCCAGGAGTTTTCAGAGGAGCTGTGCTATCTCCAGGGGCTGGGAAACTCTGAGATGAGCTCATCCCAAAGCAGGCAGAGCTTCGCCTGGGTCCCGGACAGAGGGAGATACTCCAGTTCACGCCAGAGCAGAGTGCTCGGGGTAAGAGCAGGGAGAAAAAGCACAGGATGTTTATGCAACGCCACCAGAAAAATCAATTTTGCTAAGAGTTGTTGTATCACGTAACAAAACACGGGAGCATGTCCTTTTATTCGCTTGTTTGTTATAAAATGCTGAGTTGACACCCAGAGATTACAGGAAAATAGAGACCATTCGAAAAGGTCGGGTTATGCAGCTCATCACTTTTCCAGCTGACCTGGCTGCAGCACCAAATGGGGAGGCGACAACTCCTGGGCCTCGTTAGCTAAAAATAAGGTGCCTGACCTGAGGGAACAGGGCTGGGCGCTTGCTGGGGCCTCCAGAGGCAAAGGGAAAAGCGCTCCGTGACAAATGCTGTAGCAGCAGCAGTTGCCCCGAGAGTAGGAGCAGGACGGCCGGGGTGCAGACCCCACGGTCTTGCCCAAGGCTGGGGACACCCGGGAGGTTTCACCCCGCAGCCCATCCTGCGCTGGTGCTTTGCCGGGGAGCCGAGCTCAGGACCGGTTAAGCGGAAGGCAGAGCCCACTCCTTCGGGATCAGGAGGCAAAAATATGGAAGGGAAATCCAGCTTCCAGAGCCACAGCTACTCCTCCCCTTCGTGTGGCCCTGGGTGTAGTGGGAGCAGGTTCCACCCCCCCCACCCCGACCTCCAGAACCACCTTGACCCAGGGCTGGCAAAGGTGACGGTCACGGGGGACGGAGGATCAGCCCCGGGTGTCTGCACCACGGGAACGGCCGTACTTCACCAACGTGCCAAATATCTCAGCCCGCCGCGACGCTGCCGAGCTGCGAGCATGGGCATTGCCCGCCCCCCCCCCCCCCCCCCCCCTTCCCCAGGGCCAGGGGCCTGTGCAGCCCCAGAAATCAGGATATTTGCACCCTTCTTGCACAAGGTCACGGCACAAATGCACCCGCTGCCTGGGGAGGGGGGGACAAACACACACACACGCGCGCGCGCGCTGGTATTTTATAATCACAACAAATGCACAGCAGCGGATTTCTGTGCGACAACCAGGCAGCGGCACTGACCTTGCTGGGAGGAGAGAAAAGGAAGGCTCATCAACCAGCTCGTGGATGTTCCGCATCCCCTCGGAGATGGAGCGTTAAGCCATTAAATAATAAAATCTCAATTGCCCAGCAGCTCCGGCTCCTGCAACGCCCCATGGTGCCGGGAGACACGTTTGGATGCTGCAAGGAGCAGATGTGGGGCTGGTGCATGCAGGGAGGGGCCGGTGCATGCGATGCGGGTCGGGGTGCGTGTAACGGGGGTCCCAGGTGTGTGCAAATGGGGGTGGGGGGGGGTGGGGGTGTCTAGAAGGGAGGGGGGGAGGGCAGTCTGGCCCATCAGCTGCGGGTCCGCTGGCGTGCACTGCAGGTTTGGGGCGGGCGCGACGCGTGGCCGGTGCATGCGATGCAGGTGTGCCATGGGCCCGATGTGTGACACCCCCCCTTCCCCCCCCCCCCCCAAAAGCAACCCCTGCCCGCTGGGGACCACCCCCTGATCCCCCCCACCCCACCCCGCTGCGGGTCCCCCATCCCGTCCCCCCCTTCTCCCCCGAGCCTGCAGCCAGAAAGGGATGAGTCACGGCGCCCCACGCACAACCCACCCACCCGCCCCCCGCACGCCCCGCTCACCTCCGCGGGGCCCCGCCGATGTCCGGGGCGGGGGGTGGGGGAGTGGATGGCGGGGAGGGGGGGGGCTCAGCGACCTAGCAGGGAGGGGAGAGAGCGGGAGGTGAGCGGCGACTACGCGGGGCGCGGAGCGGTGCGGCGCGGTGCTGTGCGCGGACCCCCGCCCCGATGTGTATGTGTGTGTGTCCCCCCCCCTCCATCACCTGCGCCGGCCTCCATGGGTGCGGCGGGGCGGCCGGGGAGCGCGGAGGGATGGAGGGAGGATGGAAGGATGGAGGGAGGGAGGGAGGGAGGGAGGAGGGAGGGAGGGATGAGCCTCGCAGCTGCGTAATTTGCCTCCCTCCCCTGCGCTCTTAAAGCGGCGGCAGCGCGGGTGCCCCCCCCTCCTTCCCCCCCCCCCCCCGCCGGGTTTCCCCTCCGTTTCTATGGCAACGCCTCTCTGCCGGGGCGCAGCACCCTCCCAATCCCACCAAAAAAAAAAAAAAACACCAAAAAAAACAAACCAGAAAAAAACAACCAACAAAAAAACTACACACAAAACCCCGCAAGCCCCCGGCGTTTGCGGTCCCCGGCTGCGCCGGGTCGCTCTCGGTTCCTCTCCCCGCGTAACCCCGAAGGAGGAGGAGGAGGAGGAGGAAGGAGCGGGGGGGAGCCGGGGCAGCCCCGCGCTGCGGCCACCCGGCCCTTGGAGTGTCCGTCCCGTCCCGTCCCCCCCTCGCCCCACCCCCCCACCCCCCCAGCGTCTTCATTTTCATCTAATTAAATCCAATCCACACCGGTGCGCCTCATTAATGACGCACTTTCCTAAAGTAAAATAAATAAAGGAATATTTCGGCCCCGTTGCGCTACCCCGGAGCCCAGCCGGTGGCAGCGAGCCCCCACCCCCCAAAAAAAAAAAAAAAAAAAAAAAAAAAAAAGGGGGCTGGGACCGAGAAGCAGCAAAGTCTGGAGCCACTCCTCTCGGTGCTCCCCCCCCCCCCCCGCTCGCCCAGTGGGAAATCATACTGGTCACCACTGGCCTGGCAAGTCTGATCTCTCACGCACAGGTCAAGGGCTCCAAATTAAGGAGCGAACACGTAGGGCGAGGCTGCCGGGCGCTAACTGGGAGCCACCGAGTGACTTAGGGTGGCCCACGGGGCAAGCAGCGGGGCTCTGGTGACCAGGGAGCCCGTGGCCAGCTGCAGCCCCCCCCCCCCCCCCCCCCCCCCCCCCCCCCCCCCCCCCCCCCCAGAGCCCGGCAGAACGGCGGGATGGACGCACACACCCACACCCACACCCACACCCACGTGCCACACACACACATCGGGTCCTGCGTGCACGTATGGATTCACGGGGCGGGGGGGGACGCCGGGCCGGGGCCCCGAGGCTTTTGCATCGCCGCTGCTGTCGCGACAGGTTCCGACAGACCTGGCTGCTAACCGCACGCCGGTCTTCCTCCCACGACCGTTTCCTTAGAGATTTGTGCCGCCTTTATTCCAACACAGACTGGTTTCAGTGTATATAAATCCTGCTGCTCGGTAATCCCTGCCCGCCTCCTGCCTCCTTTTGTTTCCCTCTTTCCCGGTGAAGCCAGCGCACAGCCTCTCTCCTTGAAAGGAAAATTAATGAGTTATTAAATCTGCCGCGGCTGGAGCCGCTCTTGCCGTGTGGCAGCGGCAAGCAGCTCTGCTGCGGGATGCAGAGTCACTTCCGATGGCTTTTGGGGGAGAAAAATGGGTTTTCCTTCCCCTGCCCAGGCTGTGGTGCTCGGCTTCCCGGGCTGTGGGAGCAGGGGCTCACTGGGAGAGGTTCTCCCTCCTCCTCCTGCCCCGGGCTCGCTCCCAAGACCTCGAGTGGGAGATTTGGAGAAGCAAATGCCCTCCGCTCCCCGGGTGAGCGCTCGGCTCCTGAGCAGAAGCACCAAGCCCGGCCCCGACGGGGAGAGGGGAAGGAGCCGCTCTCGGCTGCCGCCTTGGCCTGGGCTGTGCTGGGAGAGCGTCGCTCCTGTCCGCAGCCGAAAAGGTAAATACGGTTTCTGTTGCAGAAAATGCCAAGGTTTTTACCCAACAGGGTCACTTATTCCCTCCCTTACACCCAGAAAAGTGAGCGCTCAGAGAACAGTGGCGAAGGCTTCTCGTCGCTTATTTTATCAGACGTTCCTACGTGGAAAAAAGAAAACCAGCTGAAAGCAGGTCCTGCAACCAGGCAGCCCAAAGCCCCCCCGTCCCTCCCCGCCTGGCACGGGGGCTTTTAAAGCCTTTTTACTCCCCTGAAGAGTCCCCCCACAATCAACTCCTCACGTTCCCTCAACCCCACGCACACACCTAAACCGCCGCACGACAGGGCCAGGCAGCAACACGTGAACACCTGGAAATCCAGGATGAAAACATCACCCACCCTTCCCCCTTTTCGGCAAAATCACCCAAACCACCGACGGGGAAGGCGAACCCCAAGGACAGCTTAGGCGGCCGCCGGTTTTGATCCTTCAGAACAAACACCAGGAGCGAAGGGATTCCCTTCTGATTTTTATTGATTTCATGTTAGCAGCCCGGGGCCCCGCGGAGCGCTGGACACACACAATCATCCCTGAAAACCACTAACTTTACAAGATGACAGTGAAAGTGTTAAAACGCATCCTAAAGTAGATAAAACCGCAAAGAACTTACAATCAGTTTAACATCTGCTTTTAAACAGGTCTACACATAAATGAAAGGGTTAGTCTTTGAGTAAGCATGCTCCACAAAATCTGGAATTGCAGGATTTTGAGGGAATAGGATTTCTTCCTGAAGCTTATGTGACTCTTGGAGGGACAGCGCAACTTCTTGCTGCCTGAACACATGAAACCAACACTGGAGACAGTAGCTCGCTAGACCTTAAAACATCAAATACTGAACATTCTTTGAAAGGGATAATTTCAAATAGACTACAGTTTTTGAAAAAGAGAGCTTAACAGACTTCTCTTACTGATGGCGTTGGATGATAAACACACAAGCCCTGTTAAAAATAATTTAACCTTCAAAGCTGGTCTCTAAGAAAAGTTTTTAAGGAGTTTCATAAAATCCCTCACAATGTAAATCCCTTATGTAGAATTTTAGCAATATTTTACTAACAGAATAGGTAAGTGCTCATCATACAAACATATATATTAATAATAAACATACTAGCGAACACCTTGGTAACGAGGATAGAGGCAGCACACCTGCACGAGCCCGATGCCTGGCAGTTCTGGGCAGTGGCCTGAAGGAAAGGGAGCTCTGCTCGGCTACCACGGCGTGCCAAGGCATTCAGCCATTTTTCCAGGAAATACATCTGCTGAAAACTTTAGAACAAGATTTATTTTTATGAGTTTATCTGCACGCGACACGAGTTCAGTGAGCGCTGAACGCCGGGCCGACGGTGGCTGTAATGTCAGCGAAGGGAGCGCTCTGACGGAGCTCCACCACCGACTGCTTCTTCAGAACAAGAAAGATGTAAAACTTGGCCGCAGCCTCTTTCCGGCTGTTTCCCCGGCAGAGCTCCCGAAGGCTGAAGGTGCGCACGCCTGACGTCCGCAGGTGCTGCGGGAGGGAAACGAGAATCGGTCGGGTCAGCTTCACCGCCAGCAAAACCAGATCCCACCGAGCCTGAACCGAAGAGCGCCGCGCCGAGCGAGCATTTGCTGCTCGAACGCCTTGAACAGGGTCTTGGCATTTGCATTTACGTAAGCGGCTCTTAACGTTTTATTGCCATCATGTTGCTAGCACCTACATGTGTTTACTAAAACCTACGTATGCCCACGGTTCCAGTGAATTCAATGAAACTGTGCTCAGGCGTGCCACGAAGCACGTCTGTAATGGTTTTCGTGATTCAAAACAATAAAACCGAGCACGTACGCTGTTCTCTGGCTGCAGAGCACCAGCTGCATCACAGGCAACTGCAGCCACAGCTAAGTGTGTGTTATTGTTTCTTGGTTTTTAATGGCTACGCTTATACGTATTTATTTACGGGCGTTGCACTGAATCTTTGAGAGATGTTCGCACAAAATAATTTAAAAACCCCAAGAAGGCTGTGCAGTTGAACTCCGGCACTAGGGGAGAGCTGGGCTCGTCCAACGCTTGGTGGGTTTTGCAGACAAACCCTCTCCCCACACCCTCTTGCCCACGCTGGGATTTCTCCATCGCCTTCCTCCATCCTCCGTTCAGCCACGTGGGATTAGAGGACTGACCCGAAGGAAAGTAACTTTTTGCTGGGTTTTTAATACCCGTCCCCACCCAGACCAACGCCGAAGCTCCAAAACGCTCGTCTGGGCAAAAAGGAAGGAAGAACGTGGAGCCATCCGGGCAAGAGTCCAGCCCTTCAGCATCAGGGCAGCCTCTGCTGGCTCCTGCGACAGCGTGTGACATCATACCTTACAGCTTCACCAGTCTGACAATCGTTTCTGCAAGAAAAGCAGAATAAGCCTTCCTGATGGAAAGGCTACGCTCTCTCCTAAATTTCAGCATTAAATGTTCTTAAAGAAGCCGTTACCAGCTTTCTTATTAAGTAACCCTCACTCATTTCCCTAGCCATCACCTCAGAAACAGCTCGAGCAGATGAAGAGCCGAAGGACGGCACCCTGCAGTGCTCAGCCAAGACCTGCAACCTGGGAGCAGCTAGAAATCGGGTTTTGTAGCGATACTCCAGAGCAGACTCGTAGAAGGAAGAGAAGCAAGGGCGTAGCGTGATTGCAAACTTTCAGAAAATTCTAGTGATCCCAGCAGCTGTGGGAGAGAACACCCTGCCAGGCACTCAGAATCCTGGTTTTCTCCGGGTAAATACCCGACAAAAGATAGTTACACGCTGCGTAGGGAGGCAGCAATATCATCAACAGTGTAAGCAGGAGATATTCTGACACGGTCCAACAGAAATCAACCCCTGGTTTTGACACCTAATTACAAAATCCAGCACTGGTACCTGTAAAGTTTTTACTAACTGGAGAGTTCTTTTACTCCACTTTATTTCTTCACTGTCTTTCCCGTTCCTCGTTAGCTCCTGGAGAGGAAACAGAAGAGAAGGTTAGACAGCATCTGTAAAAAGTCACGCACCCTAGCGATAAAAAGGATGACAGCCTCATCAAAAATCCAGCTGGGCATCGTGATGGCTGCACTCAGGCTACCTGGGACCTCAGACACCTCTGCCGTCACCCCAGGCGCGGTGAGACGGAGGGACGCAGGCGGTGTTCCTCCTGCTACCGCGAGAGCGGGGCACCAACACAGCCCGTGCTGTGGGAATGGTCCCAGCCAGCCCCGGGGACGCCGCTTCACCACGAGGTACCGGCCTGCCTGACTGGGATTCCCACAGTATTTGTACCGGTCAGGGGCCAAAAGGATGTTCCAAAATTCAACTTTGGATTTCGGGCTGAAACTCGGAAGTCGTCAGGAGAGGATTGCCCTTGTTTCAGCATCTCGGTATCCTCAGAGCCAGCGAGTTCAGAAACTGCTCCCTCCTCACGGGAGGCTCAATCTCTAAGCGAGGAGCTGCTGCCCTCACAGGCCGTAACCTCTGAATTCCGGAATTATCCCTGCTTATCAAGCTATAAAGCTTTTGACTGGCAAACTATGTACTAAAGATGATGTTAATACACTAAAATTCACTGTATGTTCATGATACCATTACTTTTTTTTTTTTTGGGGGGGGTAATATTTCTGAGAAAGAACACCGTTCCCTTCTGGAGGACGTCAGAGCTGTCAGCTCCGGGCACACGTACGTTTGTTAACTCGGCCGGCTGCGTTCCCGCGTCTTGGCCCAGGGAGCTGTTCGCCAGCGAGGAGCTCGCGGAGAAAGCCGCCCCGACCTGCTGTTAGGACAGGAAGGACCATCAGCAGGCACTGTGCATGCAGTGGAATTCTCACTTGCATAATGCTGCTCAAAGAATGTATTACAATAAACGTTCTCCCACGTGATTTGATTACTGCTACTTCTACCACGTCTTTTCTCACACGGGAAAGGACCCACAACTATTTATCCTACTATTTATTCTACTATTTATCCTCTATTTATCCTACAACTGGATCTGCACCTATGGGCTCAGTTCAGGCACAGACCCTCCATTTTCTGCTGCCATTAGGCCCAATTTTGTCATTCTTTTTCAACTTCAATGAGCCTCACATTCTCTAAAGAATGCCCTTTCACATTAGCCTAAATAAAGATGGCAGAAGTAGATAATTTATTATTGCTTAAGTATTTCCTCAATATGAGACACAAAAGTTTTATCCTTTATAAAGATTATTATATTTATCTCTCCAGTACAAAGAGGCTATGTTTCATATTAAGGCTTCATTTATACTTAGTGATTAGACTGTAATCTATGCTGATCATAACAGACATTTTAATTAATCGTTCATTCATCGTGAGAGTCCACCAAAATGCTTATAAATAAACTTTTATGACACAAGCTACTTCGTGGTATATTGGCTGTCTCTAGCATCCTTTTCAAACATTTATTAGTAATTTCTTAACACGTTTTAAATGGTACCCTAGCATAAAATTAAATTAAGTATGCTTAGGTCTCTAAAATTTATGGGAACTGCTCACTATAGTTTCACCACAGTTATCATCAGTTTCATCTCTGCTATTCTGTGATGTCAACATAAAGGAATCATTTCTAATTTTTCTCTCAGTCTCTGAATGAGCTGACTCCTGCAGGTAACATGGCTCTTCTACTATCAGCATCTCTGTATTAATAAAAAAAACAAGGTTTAAGAGGAAATTACTGTGAATCGCCATCCTTAAAAAAAAAAAATACAACTGAAATAAACAAAAATCGCACCCTAGTTAGCAATGTGTGAGAGTAAGAGCCAAAATGAGTAAATATGAGAATAAATATCATTCTCAATAGGACCATGGAAGAAGAAGAACCTCCCAAGAAAGTTTTTCCTTTTCTGAAATTTAACATTTGTGGACTTGCAGGAGGTGGTTTTGTTGATTCACTTCTGGGGCTGACATACAGATTGCATTTCTAACAGAGCAAAGGAGAGAAAGCAGGTATGTCACCTCCTCAGAAGATCTAAAAGGGAACGTTTCTTCTTGCCTGATATTAACCAAAACACAATCTTCAAGATTCAAATAGAAGTTATTTACATGAATTTGGAAATTTGGACAGCACTTTGATTAAACTCAGAATAAGTGGGAAGCATTTTAAATTTTTAATAAAAACAAGCAAACAAACAAGCAAACAAATTTGCAGTTTAGTAGACAGTTGGAGAAACGGAAGGTGCCACAAGGAAGAAAAAGACTTGGATTTCATTTCTGATCTAGCAGAAGAACATCAAAGTATTTATAAAAACAAAATATATATTTTTTTTTAAATAATCAGCAGCCAATTTCCTTAACATTTAACTTTTTAGGCCTTTAATTTGTAGAATACTGCACACAAACACCGTGCACATGTCTCTCAAACATTATGTAAAATATAAAATATTTTCTAACAGCTAATTTTGCAACAACAGAATTAAAATATTACCTGTGGTATCTTGGTCTTTTCTTATTTCTTCCATTTCAGACTCCCTCTGTATTCCATTTCTTCTCATCTTAAATTCGTGACTCTTGAAGCATTTTGCAAACAACTGAAAACAATTATTTTTATTTGTTTTTAGAATATCATATCAGGTTATTTGCACACGTCAACACAAAAGTATGAATATGAGCTGTATATTAATTACTGCAACCCAGAATTTAGATTATTTGAATTAGGTCATTCTGAAAATCTGCAATTATCCTTTCTAAAGTAACGGCCTTCTGCAGCTTCAGCCCTGGCGGTGAACTCCATGAAGAAACACCTTAGGAACAGCTTGGACCATTTTTCCTTGAAGCCAGCCAGTAAGGAAGGATGAAAGAAAGAAACATCTGCGGTTACCTGCATGGATTTCTCTCCCCCTGTGCCGGTGCATGAGTATTTTTCATCCTCCTACAGAGCAAGCTGTAATTCTGCACCTCGACTCTGAGTGGTGAAGCTGTGCCGCTGCGCTGGACCTGCAGAGCTGGCCGCCTGCAGACCCTGCCTCCCGCGCCCCCAAGCCACAGCACAGAGCCAGCAGTGCCCCAACACAAGGCTGCTGCACACACTTTACACCGTATCTTTCCGCATCGCCTTGTACACACGTTGATCTCTGTCTTATCACCGGCTCTAAACTTACAGCTTCTCTGAATGATCTGTCAGACCTGTCCGTGGGGCCACGAGCGGCTTTGATGGATCCTATTTCCGTGAAACAAATACATCTGCCTCGTGCAAAAAGGGAGCCAGGTCCACAGCCACGGGCAAGGGTGGCCTGGCCCACCCTTCCAGCCAAGGTGTCAGGGTGATCAGGAGCCTCGTGGCCCCTGACCGCTCTCCAGCTGGAAGCTTCATCTCCAAGAGGGAAAGTACACAACAAATTGGCATACTGTCTTTCCAAAGCCATTAACCATATCACAATAACAATGTTTAAGCCTGATGTACCTTTAAGGTAAATGTAGAAAAAAGATGTGGTCTCATATTGATTACAGAGCAGAAACACAACAGAAACTAATAAACCAAAGTAGAAAGTAGGAAAGAAATTGACAGAAATCTAAAAAGTTGTGGTCTTAGTGTATGATCGGGGAGGTGCCAGGATGTGAAACGAAACACCCGCTCCCCAGTTCCATTGTCATTCTTTGCTTGTTGCTGGAGTGCTGGAGTTCACAGCCGTGAGTCCTACGGATGGTCTTTGCAAATAATCGTCAGGTATCCAACTGAACTGCAGTGCAAAACAATTAAAAGCTGCACCTGCAGTTTGCTAGGCATTCACGTAAAACCAAGCCTGCAAAACCTCTCACAGTTAGATCCTAAATGTGCAACAGTCCCATGATCTATAGAGTGGCATAAAAACCTACAGGGAATTGATCTTTACCATTTGCAGCTGAGCATGAACCACAGGCTGTGTAGCGTGGGACAGGAGTTTATCCACACCTCCTGATTTCTTCCACATCATGGTTTTTTTTGTTGGGGGTGCAAGGTCTAACGTAGCCAGGATGTCCATGCAGTTGTTAAGCTGGTGGTGTATAGCGTTGCAGCTGAGTTCCTTGTTTACATCCACAAGCAACTTCCTCTTTCTTTTATTTTTTTTCCTCTGGGTGACAGCTAAATAAAGAAAGTATTAAAAAAAAAAGAGTCTACTAAGGTGTATTCACGGAACACTGAAGCACAAAAAAAAGCACTGTGAATCAAACAGAGAGGCTGCTGACCTCCTGAAACACCGCACAGACTTGAAAATCAAAGTACAAGTGCACGGGCCATTTCTCCAAAAGTTTGCATAAAGTATACTCTTTGTATTCTTGTACAGGAAATTCACGTATGTTTAATTCCAGAAGACATCTGACTATCGTACTAAAGAAGCAGGAACATGAGGACTTAATGAGAACACATGATACACCAACAAGACTGAATAAGCTATCTTAATCCATCAGGAAGTTAGTTGTTCCAAGAACTGCTGATGTACTCAATAGGTTTCATTACCTCATACTTAATATCTGTATTTGCCAGTTTAATCCTTTAGCAATTTAATTAAGATGTATGTAGTAAACACAAAAGAAAGACAGGGATTCATTATATAGCCATAACTTCATGAATATTATTTTGGCAGGCTGGAAAATTCCAGAATTCCAAATACTAGTGTCAACATGAACTTGTTTATTTGCTAACAGCCACCAATGTGATAGGTGACATTTAGACTTACCCAGAGAAGAAATGAAACATTTTTGTTTTTGGATCTTATTAAAGTTAAAAGTTCAGAAAACAAACTTTTACAAAGGCCTGAAAGTTTTAAGATTGCTCTTTTACACATAAAAGTCACTGATGTGTCACTAAGGATAAAAGTTCTTCAGCTGAAACTTCAGTAACACTCACGACCAGGCCAGGCCTGCACTGCCAGCAGAACTTGCAGGGCAACAAAACTTGATTTGGTACGTGGAAGAAACTGTGAGCAGAGATTTGGGCGGATCAGATGAATAACCTGATACTGGTTTTGTATAATAGTTGCCATGAAATAGAACTCTGACAGCAGGAGCAGATGAAATCTAAAGTGGGAATAATCTGTTTTGCAAATATCTACACTAACAAAAAGAAAAACAAACCTAGTTAGCGCAAACATTCAGCAAGAAATTGGTCAAGTTCTGACCTGTCTGATCAACAGGCTCAAGCACAAATCCTTCTTCTTCTTCCAAGAAAAGTATTGTTTTGTTCACTAGATGACTTACTTTCTCAGTGGTGGTGTCTGCGCAGTTGGACTCAACTATAAGAAAACCCAGCAAATAACCCACATTTAAGAAAAGTTTACAAGATGGAATAATTTCTCAATCTCACAACATAGAATGGTATCAGACAAAAAAAGATACAGAATTGGAAAACTATGATTTTCTCTTTAATCTCACAATCCCTTTAACCAGTAGCAACTGGCACTGCTGCTGCTCATGTTCTGCACTGCACGCCACCCTTCGCTGACAGCGGGACCTGTGTGACCGATGGTGGAACAGGCTGGAGAACTGACCTGGAGGAAAACCCACCCGAGGAAAAGTCTTTAGGGGGAAAAGTGTTTAGTTTCAATACGTATCTGTTTCCAGTTCCAGGCAACTGCATGGCAGCGTGGTCACTCCTGTCAACATAAAAGGAACAGGTAGTACCAGGCCAAGTGCAAGGCGAGGCAAGTGCCACCACTTCCCTTTAAAGCTGTTCCAGAATTCTCAAAGTAACAGTGTGATGGGGGTATCAGGATTTAAGATATATATAAAAAAAAAAAAAATCCAGAAATACTTTTCAAAAATTACTTTCATCAATATCAAATCATCAATATCAGTATCAAAAAGAAGACTAACAACACCCTTATGAACTACTAAAGTGTCATTTGTCGCTGAAATACGAAGCCAGAAATACTCATAGGTAAAGTTCAAACATACCCTGATTCTGTTTCCCTTCCCCTCTGCCAATGACACCATGCTGCCTAATCAGCAGGGTGGATCAACAGCCTGGCCAACAGGATGTCATGTAAAAGTATTTCTAAGCCATGTCAAGTTACAAATCTGGAATCCCTAAGTCACGTGAAGTTATACATAAAATGGTGGATGAAGCGTATTTAGAAACAACAACAACAAAAAAAAGTAAAATAAATGAACAAAGGAAAAAGGCATGGGACATTCTACAAAGCTGAATGTGAGTAACTTGAGGCATTAATACAGGGACAGAGGGTTTGTGTAAGACAGAGCAGACACTGCAAACTCACTGGCTGTGCTGTTCTCTGACAGATCTTGTGACAAAGGACGTTCTTCCTCCATATCAAGCATGTCTTTATCTAGGCCATTTTGTTCATCCCTCAACAGGATTTCTTAAATACAAAATGCGTACTTTTAATCACTCTAAGCCTTAGTACTCACGAAATAGCCTGATACAACCTAATGTTACTTATTGAGGGTTAATTCTCTGAAACAAAACAAGCTCAGCTTCCACAGATGGCTGCCAATGGTATGGCTGTCTTAACAGCATGAAAAGGAGAACGTTAATCTTAACTTTGAGATTTCCACCTTTTCTTTGAAAAGTATGATATTGATATTGTTTAAAAGGTATAAGTCTATAAAGGTTTACGTAAATGCTCTAATCCATAAAGATGCAGAAGCTACATTGCTGCCTTTGTTATTACAACGAGGCTAAAAATGGTGCACTATTTCACCTCTCAAAATATAAAATAAATTGTTAAACATCAAGTATAAATTGAATGCCTTTAATTCTAAAAAACCTCAGAATATATCCTTTAAAACAATTTTACTTGGCAATGTCTAAGAGATCATAGATTTGTTGACAAGTAGAAAAAAAATGGAAGCATGAAAACAACAAAAAATACAGAATTTATGTTTGAAAACAATCACTTTCATGCTGCTTGTTTGTTTTCCTGTAAGAATAAAAATATTTGGAAAGAAATGCATTCTGTTTATCTGTGGCAAACCCTACCGATCATATCTGCAGCATCCTCCTCATCTCCAAAACAGTCGTGCTCAAAGCAGTAAGCATCTTCATGCAGTGCAGACTTGCCTCCGTTCACGCTCGCGGAGTTGTGATCAGCCACAGGACTGTTGCTGCTCGTTAAGATGCTGCTGTCAAAGAAGCTCTGTTTTCTCAGTGCCTCTGGTTCTTCATCTGCATAAACACAGAATTTCTGATGCTTCATCTGCATGAATTTTTGCAAGATGTATTTATCCATTTCCTCATTTTTCAAATAATTTTTCAAAGATTCTAAGATATCCCATACCTCAAATGGAATAAACAATAAACAGTTTTAGCTAATTCAGTAAAAAAACAGAAATGGTGGGTTTGATTCTCAGTCTCCAATATCATATAATATTACTAAGGCAGAGTACTTACATAAAAATTTAAGCATAAGACAGTATGGCAGGCCAATCAGCACAAGCGTGAAACAAATGCACTTTTAATAATAGGTTTTTCACACGTGGAAAGGACTCATACTGTACAAAATGTTGCATAAAACACACTTTTCCTTATGGAATATTTCTAATTTCTCAACTTCTCTCACCAAAGTTTCTATCACAGAGAAGTATATTGCTTTCATAATCCTCTGTAAGTGTGATGTCTTCAGCTCTGCTCTGATTCAAGGTAAAATGTTCAGCAACATCAATGGCACTGATGAAAAAAACATTATACAAAATATAGGGTGAACTGAAACCCAATGACCATTTAGCTAGAATGTGAAAGCTTGTTTCTAAACAGTGTTCGACTCCGATGTTTTATCATAAACCCCCAAAAGATAGCTTCTGTTTTCTATGGCATTGAAAGTACCCCGGCTGATCCTCACCTCTATGGAGAGAGAACAACTGTTTCCCAAAGCTATTTGCATTCAAGGCATTTAAGGTTTTATTGATAAAATTCACTGCTTTGATTTTCCTCTAAAAGCTAAAAATAAGCATATGGAAAACAGGTGCTAGAGGTTTATTAAAATTGATACCTCTAAGCGAGTAGGCAGCTGCCGCCTTTGCTAGCCAAAGTTTCTGTGCACCTTGCAATGTACGTTGTACAGTGGAGGCTGAATCTGCAATAGCTGTACAGGCAGCAGCTGGGGGGGAGTCCACGAAGAGGGGTGGGGAAAGCATCAGCTAACTCAATTTTTAAGTACTGCCCACATCTGGAGCTCCCTGAACAAATGATCCAGAGGTACACTCAGAAAGCAACCCCCTCAAGACACAGCAGACATATTTATAAGGACAAGGGGAGCCCCCGTCCTCCTCTCCACATTTCATATTCCTCCACTCTTTTACCAGTAAACCTGGGCTTGTGTGAGTTTGTTTGCATTCAAGCCCTGCTATCTACCAAGTGCTCATCACGTAGAAGGCATCTAATTAGTGTAACATCATCATCTGTAAATCAAAGCAGACGGACTCTTTGGGTAGGCAGAAAAGGCATGCTTTACAGTTGGCACACTGAGGTACTTGAATAAATAGCATTATATTGCAGCCGTACTTACAAAATACTAAACACTTACAGACCCCATCAAACTGTATTTACGACGAGGTACAGAGGAAGCCTCAGTGGAAATCTGTAATCCTGGGCCTTTGGGGGCATCAGAGCTATCAGAAACATGTCTTGTCCTCCTGCTTTTTATCAGTTTTTCTACATTAATGCTGATTTGTGTCAGAAAAGCCAGAGAAATATGCTGGCTTTTCATTGGGAGCCAAGCTGACTACAGCTGATAAAATACCCAGGCCCCAAAGAGCGATGGAGCAGAAATTAAATGCAGTTACACAATGGAACAGTGCAACATGGCGAGATTACTAGCCAGAGCTTCCTTGCTCTTACAACAGGATTTATACTAACTTTTCTATATTCTCTTGAGGTCAGAAAGTTGTTTGCAGGCTTCACTCGGGCAATTTAAAATCCCAAAGCCTAAGTTCCATACATTATTTTATTGTAAAGGTCTGTTGATTAAACAGGCTTTGAGAAACTCACAGAAGCACTATTCCTGTGACTGTAGCCTTGTAAAGCTGACTTAGAATTTAAGAGGATTCAGTTATCAAAGCAAAACAATTCCATCCAAGTCTTGATCAGATAACAGCAAGGATATCTTCTGAAAATACTAAAATAATTAATAAAAACTAGGGAAGCATTTACTTTAAGTCAGGTAGTGGTGTTTCAAAATCATTAAATTCTTCAGGTAATGTAATGGACTGATAGGCAGCCTCAAAGTTCTGTTCTGGAAGGTCAACAAGTCCTAAAAGAAACAGACAACATAACAAAATAAGTATCAGTAAAAGTAATGTTCTCCAAAGTCTGTATAAGAAGATCATAAACCTGTCGGGAAGGTCTGCTGCTGTTCTAAATAACAGAAGGGTGAAGCTTAGGCACTTTGTCAACAGGACTCTGAAGCAGAATTAAAATCCTTAGTTTATATATACTTTAGAAGCCATACTTTTTGCAGGCAGATACAGAAGAGTCTGCTGCCACAGGACCTGAAATACTGTAAATACAGTGGGTTTCTGAACAGCTACTCGAAGTCCCTGAAAGACTTTCACAGCTGACACTTGGCTGAGTCTTTCACACCACTTCAAACGAATTATTGCGTTTTCTTTTTCTCTCTGTGTAACACTATTCTCAAGCAACAAATCTGTCTGTATAACACTATTCTCAAGCATCAAATAATTATGAAGTGATACTGCAAATACTTGGTAATTGGGTGAGAAGGGATTTCTGAAGGTCATCTAATCCAACCTTCGCTCAACAGCGTTAATTTATAAGTCAGATCACTTTTGACTATTCCTGCTGACAGAGTTTCCACAGCATCCCTGGACAGCCTGTTTGTGTTTTACCACTTCCACTGAGATTTTTCCCTCCCCCGTTATACCCAGTTGGAGTCTCTGTTGCTGCAGTTGTGACTGTTGTGTCTTATTCTTGTGCTGTGCAGCCCTCTAGAAGCTACTATAGTATCTATTCAAAGTAGACAGTACTGTGTATTTACCTTGTTTTTTCTCAAGATTTCCAAACGCTTACAAATATTAACTAACTAATCATGATCATATCCCTGAGAGTAACATAGAGTAGGTATTCACTATTCTGCAAACAGACCAGGTCCCAAAGCACATTAGGGCTGGCAATAGATGCTGGTGTCCTGCTCGTAGTCTTTTTTTAGACAACAGTGCCTCCCCCTTTGTTGCCTAAGTATGACAAACACACAGCCTGCTGGAAAAGGATCCAGTCATCCCTGCTCCCTTCTCACTGGCTACATGGCTAGAGCTCCAAACGCACTGTCAGATCTGGCACTAACACACTGTTGGGCATATTGTTGGTGTCATCACAAATTAAAATTAATTATCTAGCAACAGAGGCTGAAGTCAAGCTTCTTCTCCTAAGACCACTTAAAACACTGTTTCTTTTAAAGGAGTCAGACCTGAAATGGCGTTAAATTAAGCCAGACTAAGCATCAGCAGTAGACACTAAAAAGTTCAATTTCCTTTGGGATCAATAATGTGTATTTAACAGAAATATTCAAAATTCACTTTTAAAATGAGAGCTGTAAAGGACACGGATGAAAAAAATGCAGAATTCTGTACATACCTGGGCGAAAGGCTGTCTTCATTTTGGTCAAAGCTTCACTACAGTCTGCCAAGAGGTACTTTGCTTTCCTGTGGTAAATCCTCACCACTCCTAGGAGTAAGTGTCCAGAGGTTCGCAGAGCTATAGTAAACTTTGATGATTTAAAAGAGTAGTTCAGGAGTTAGTATTTTTGGCAAAAACATTAAAATGAAAATACTGCACAGTAGTAGTAACAGAATTCCAGTTACATACACCAGTACAGAGCTCTATGAAACTCAAGAGGGTTTGTACTGATATAGGGGATCACATCAGAAATTAATTTTCAGAGCTAGGAACTTCCAGGAGCTTCTGTTCCTAAACAACGCTGCCATGCCAAAGCGCGAGTCTTGAGCTGATGTTCTTTATCTAAAACATCTCAGCTAACTGCCAAGGAGCAGTGTAACACATCCTGAAACAGAAACTAGCTGCGTATATCCTCGTATTTGACACTTCAGCTATTTAAGTGAGCAGACACCACACCTATACCCTTATATATATGCAAATAAAGGCCATAACTCTGCCCTTATTTATGCAAAGCCTTCCTGCAGCAAGCACACTCAAAGTGGTCATGCTGATGCTAGGCAGGACAGCATGCAAGGAAATGTAGAGGGTACTTAACCAGTACCTCTTGGAAAACACCTCCAAATAATGCCATTTTAACCACACTCAGTTAATCATAACCCATGCAAGATGGACAATGAAATTCAGGCTACCAAATACAAAGGCAGGCATTTTCATGAAGAAAAAAAAAGAACAATAAAAATCTGCTTGCACCAGCTGAAAGCCTTGGATCTCCTGAGCCATCGATCAGTGGCAGTGCAAAGCGTTCTTCACTGTTCCCTTGGTTGCAATTGCGATGGCAAGGCCAAGGACTGAGTCATGGGGACTTGACTGCCTGCATCTGTGCTTGCTTGAGTCATACCCATCAGTGATACGCAGAGGACTCCAGCCTCCTGGTCTGTTCGCACAGAGTCTCTCATAAGCACTACGTGTGCTTAATTATAAATTTAACGGCTTATAATGCGGGACCTGGAAGAAGTCCACTGCAAGTGGAAGGATGGTTACGATATGTCAGAAGTTATTTATTGCAAGATCAGCAAAAGCATTCTCCTCAAATGGTCTGTGTACCACTTCACAGCAGTTTTCTTAGTCCTTTGACTTTGGTTAAGCAGCTGACTTTTCAATCTCTTTGAGACGATTTCCTCAAATACCAGCATTTCCCAAATTCTGTTGAACAGTACCCGCAGCTGCTCCTCAAAGTCTCTGAAGAAAGACCAGTGCTACCACACCACACCGTGCCGAGGGGACCATGTTGCCTCATGAGTGACTCAAACCCACGTACCGTGATCCCTTGGCTAGCGGTGCCCCGGAGCTCTGTCAGAAAAATACATTTGAATATCCTGTGGTAGCGTTTGCGTACACTAATGTATGCGTACATAAATGTATGCCACAGATCTCCAGTAATAAAATAGCAAGTAAAATATTTCTATAATGGGATGGAGATTTTATCTGAGTGAGAGCTGAAGTAAAATCAGATTAGGAGTTTACCTCACACTGGTTTTGAAACAGCTAAAATTTTGTCCAACTGAGTCTCCAAGATGGCAACTGTCTTGTTCCCTACCGCAGATGAACACCTCTACCCCAGAACTTACCAGAAAACACCTCATGATTTAAGAGCATACCTTTGGCGAGATGATCTTTTCAATGGTAGTCTCTAAATTGCACTCAAATATATGAGCTTTGGTGAGCTTCCTCTCCCAGTGGGCAGCAAGCCATATTTTGGCCAACGGCCCGCGCTTGTTGATGAGGAAATGCATGTAGAACATGGCGCCTGGGACAAGGCTGGCAGGCCAACCCTTCCGCCACCTCCCTGGCCTGCTCCCCTGCCGACCGGAGAAGGGCCCTGGGGCACGAAGGGGGAAGAGGGATCTAATGGATCCCTGAGGGGGTGGAAGGACCCAGCCAGGCACGGAGGGGATGGGGGGATTTAGCAGGACCTGAGGGAACGGGGTGACCCAGCCGGGCGCTGAGGGGACTGGAGGGGATTTAGCGGGAGCTGAGGGGACCCAGCCGGGCGCTGAGGGAAGGGGAGGGGATTTAGTGAGGTCCTGAGGAGCTGAGGGGATCCAGCCGGGCGCTGAGGGGACTGGAGGGGATTTAGCAGGATCCCAAGGAGATTGAGGGGATCCAGCTGGGCGCTGAGGGGACTGGAGGGGATTTAGTGGGAGCTGAGGAGATGAGGGGATCCAGCCGGGCACTGAGGGGACTGGAGGGGATTTAGTGAGGTCCTGAGGAGATGAGGGGATTCAGCCGGGCGCTGAGGGAATGGGAGGGGATTTAGCAGGATCCCAAGGAGATTGAGGGGATCCTACCGGGCCCTGGGGGGACTGGAGGGGATTTAGTGGGATCCTGAGGAGCTGAGGGGATCCAGCCGGATGCTGAGGGAACGGGATGGGATTTAGCAGGATCCTGAGGAGATGAGGGGATCCAGCTGGGCGCTGAGGGGACTGGAGGGGATTTAGCAGGATCCCAAGGAGATTGAGGGGATCCAGCTGGGCGCTGAGGGGACTGGAGGGGATTTAGTGAGGTCCTGAGGAGCTGAGGGGATCCAGCCGGGCGCTGAGGGAAGGGGAGGGGATTTAGTGAGGTCCTGAGGAGCTGAGGGGATCCAGCCGGGTGCTGAGGGAAGGGGAGGGGATTTAGTGAGGTCCTGAGGAGCTGAGGGGATCCAGCCGGATGCTGAGGGAACGGGATGGGATTTAGCAGGATCCCAAGGAGATTGAGGGGATCCAGCTGGGCGCTGAGGGGACTGGAGGGGATTTAGCAGGATCCCAAGGAGATTGAGGGGATCCAGCTGGGCGCTGAGGGGACTGGAGGGGATTTAGCAGGATCCCAAGGAGATTGAGGGGATCCAGCTGGGCGCTGAGGGGACTGGAGGGGATTTAGTGAGGTCCTGAGGAGCTGAGGGGATCCAGCCGGGCGCTGAGGGAACGGGAGGGGATTTAGCAGGAGCTGAGGGGTCCAGAGGGGATTTAACGGGATCCTGAGGAGATGAGGGGACCCAGCCGGATGCTGAGGGGTCCGGAGGGGATTTAGTGGGACCTCAGGGGATGGGGGGGCCCAGCCGGGCGCTGTGGGGCCGGGCGGATCTCGGGAGGGACGGGAGGGTGTCCGGGGGCCCGCGGGCGCTGCTCAGCCCCGGCGGCGGCTCCTCCCGCCCGAGCGGCGGCCCGGGCCGGGCTGCGGGTCCTCGGAGCGGCCGGCGGCCCCTCGGGCTCCGCTGGAGAAGCCGCAGCCCCTCGGGAGCAGCTCCGCGGCCATTGCATGGATCTGCAGAGCCCCGGGGGCTGGCGGCTGCGGGGCAGGCGGTGCGCGGGGGCCTCCCAGGCAGGGACCTGCTCGTATAATACATATATATATATATATATATATATATTCCTTCCCGGGGGTAACAGCGAGCACGCAGGCATCTCCAGGAGCACAACGCTGCTCGCCTCATTGTAGGTTCCTGTGAATGGAGAGCACCTCCCCAGCTCCCTCCTCCTCTTCCTCCACCTCCTCCCAACCTCTTTTGCCCTTGACATTTTCACAGGCACCCCCCAGCCCTTTCTCTGAGGGTGAGCAGGTCCTGCGTGGATCCAGGCACGTTGGGTAAAACTATCTTGATGAAGGATGTTTGCAGAAGGGAGGGGAGAGGAAAAAAAAAAAAAAAACAAAAAACCTTCAGATCTATCTCTGTGCAGAAGGATAAAGATATAGGTTTGCAGCCACCACCTAAGGGAAGAGGCAGTGTGTTTGCACATGTCACCAGCCAGGAAAAAAAATTAAGTTTGTCAACCCCCTGCTTCATGCTTTCTGTGCTTTGCTTTATATTCTGGCAGAGCACAGAGATTCTCCTGGTGCTCCCGAGCCACAGCCCAGTGCATCAGCTGTTGCCATATCACAAGGCACCTGTGGTTTTCCCCATCTCCCCCGTGGCCTGGTGTTAGCTGAAGATAATTAGATCTCAATTATCACCAGGAAAGTTTTGAGCCCCTTCCCAGTGTGGCTCTGCAGCTGGTCTTAGTGGAAGGCAGGGCTCTGTCCCTTTGGGCAGAGCTGGTACCTCAGGCTGGGGCTCAGACATCGCCGTTTGGGGGAGAAGCAGGGTTTCTGCTATAAAAAAACCCTTGGAGTGATGCGTTCCCAAGGGGGGCCTGGAGGAGCCTCCCGCGAGCCCCAAAGCAGGCGTCCACCACCCCTGCAAAGGCACAGAGCCTGCCCGGGCACCCTGCGAGAGGGATGGCACGCAGGGGCCAGTAGTGCCGGGAGGGAGGCCGCGATGTGCCAGGCACCTCTGCTCCTCCTGAGCTCCTGGATCTCCCCACCGGCGTGGAGCCAGCGCCTGGCTCCTGAATTACCCGGCTCCATTTTTTTTTTTCCCCTGACCTCCGAGTCACCTTGAGCCGCGCTGGCTGCAGGCGCTGGCTCTGCCACGGGATGCTGTGAATATTAAGGAGGCAGGAATGAAACTTCACCCCCGCGCAGGGATGGATGGGGATCAGCACTGCCAGCGGGCACCGGGCAGCCGCAGCAGCCATGCGCACCCCAAAACCGAGCTGTGCCGTGTGGGCATGCACTGGAGGGGCCCAGAGGGACAGAGATATGTCCATAGCCCTCCCAGTGCCCTCCCATTCCTGCTCCCACTGTCTCCTCTGCTGGCTCGGGGCTCCTGTTTGCTGTCCCTCTCGTCTCCATTTAATCATTTTGGCCAAGCTATGGTATGTCCCTGTCCCCAGCTCTCTCGCTCTGCTCCCTCCCTCCTTCTTCCACTTCTTTCCAAGCTCTTGGTCTCTCCCCTCCAGCGCTCCTGCAGATTCATTGTGAATTTTGGCAGTGCCGTCTCTGACCTTGGCCGTCTCCCTCTTCTCTTTGCTCCTGCGCTGGCAGCATAAATCTTGGCTGTCTCCATCTCTCCTCCCCTTCCCTCGGTGCCAGCACCCAGGGATGGAGCAGACCCTTGCCAGCCCCCAGCCCCACGCTCAGCCGGCCCAGGATGGGGTTGGGGAAAGCTTTTGGGCTGCCCACCCCACACCCTGCAACCCTACAGAGGCCCGAGGCTCCCAGCACCCATCCAGCAAAGGCAGCAGGAGCCAGGGGCAGCACGCCGAAAGGTGCGGGATGCGTCCCTCCACCTCATCCACTGCAGGGCGGTGGGAGCCCTCTCTGCGGGATTGGGGTGCAGGAGTCGGGGGGCACGAATCCCTGACCCCACAGCTCATCCCTGTGCGTGTACGAAGACAGGCGGGAGCCACGGCACGAGCGGATTTGCCTCTGCCCCCCAAATCCGCAGCCTCGCGGGGGCCCCTGCCTCAGCACCCTGGGCACCCCTGGGTGCATCAAGCCGCAGGCCTTGGGTGCTTGAAAATGGAGGTCTCAGCCACGGCTCCGCTCAGGAGCAGACCGGCGACTTTTCTGGTTTTCCCAGGGAATTTGGCGATGCTGGAGGCAGCAGGGCCCTCTCCTCCCAGCCCCGCTCCTGCCTGCCCCGCTGCTCGCAGGGACGTGCCCGCCTGCCCCAGATCCTTCTTTTCCTGCTGATTCGGGACAATTTGTGTCCCGTGACCTACTTGTCTCCAAGCATCTTCTGCCTTCCCGCGGAGTGGGTTGGTACCGAAGCCTCTCTAAATGTGGTTAACGTGTCAGGATGCACTTAACATTTATTTTTAATTCTGCTTTTTTCTCGGCCCACTTCTGGATGCATCCCCGGGGACGCTGTGGAGGGAAGCCTCTGCGTTCCGACACAGCACCATGAGAGGAGACGGGAGCAGCGAGCGGGTGGGTCGCAGCATGCACAACCCCCCACCGCAAACTTAAGAAATAACAAAACCCTGTGTATCCTTGTCCCTGACATGACAAAAGGTGATGGGAGCCCCCGACCCACCCCACAGCCCCTGGCACCTGAGGGGCGAGCGCATCACAGTGGGGAACCTGCAAGCCCATTTTGCTGAGCTAAGCAAATAATTAAAATAGACAAAAAGCCTTCCCAGGGCACCTTGGAGGAAACATTTTCTTAAAGATGTGAGAAAATGGCTAAAATTTATCCAGAGGTTAATTTTTAACGGAAACTTTAGGGTTTCATGAGGGAGATGTCCAAGGAAAGATAACGCCACCCCATCACTGAGCAGCACAAGCCAAGCTGGCCCCACAGGGACCCTGCCAGCACCAGCGCCTGGATGGGTGCTGAGCCTGTCCAGCCCTCAGCCTGTCTCCCTCAGGAAACCTCACGCACCTTTTTATCCGTGCGTGCACCCCCCACTAAACTCTCCGAACCTTTTTGATCAGTTTTAGCTGTATTTGTCAGCGACTTCAGACAAAGTCCCTGTGCCTCTGTCACGAAACGGAGCAGAAGGGTTGGAGACTCCCAACTGTTGCCCCCACGCAGGAAAATGTCCCGGCACCGTGGGTCGCGTGGAGCCCAGCGCGGCGGCAGAAGGACTCGCTGTGCGGGGGGTGCAGGGTATTTGGGGGGGGGACATCCCCGCGGCCCCGATGCTGCCGGCTCAGCCGGCACCCGCAGCACCTAGCGCGATCGCGGGTGAGCTCGTGGAGATGCCGGAGGCCCCGGAATGTGCTGAAGGGAACGGCAACGTGACGGACAAACCTTCCCAGCAGCTTTCAGCAGCCCACCCGCTAACCGCTCAGGATTTACGTCCACAGCCCCATCTCCAGGCACCGCTCCAAAGGCAGAAATAACCCGCGTTGTCTTGACAAACGAGCTAAAAACGTGCGGCCGCCAGTGGGTCACGGCCGGGGCGCAGGCCCGGATCCAGGTTCAGGTCAGCGGGGAGCGGGGCGCGGGCACTAAGGCCGGTGAAAAATGGAATAAGGAGCGCGGGGAGAGGGGGGGGGGGGGGGCTCTGCGGGTGTGGGGGGGCAAGCCTGGCTGGGGGCTCTGGGCTGCGAGCGCGGCCACCGCGGGCTCTTCTGGAGCATCTCATGCCTGGCTCAAACCCAGGTCAAGCCATGGATGTTTCCCCAGGGATTTTTGGGGGGGTGGGGGGTGCAGGCTTGACCCTTGCAGGGGTTCTCCCTGCTGCGTTCAGGGCTGGGGGCACTTAGGGTGCAGTGCCAGTGTCCCCAGCCCAGCTCAGCCCCGGGTCCCCAGTGAGGATGGCTGGTTGTGGGGTGCCCAGCCAGCACCCCCAGGGACACGTCCCCCCCATGGGCATGTCCCACGCTCTCCCACCGTGCCGCTCTGTTTTCTCCAC